AATTACATTTACCTTTTGTCACTATGATTGTGCCCCTAACTTCTCAACTAATTGGTCTTTAGCCCCCACATAATCACTTGCTTTTTTTTCTTTTTTCTTTTTGAACATTCACATAATCACTTGCTTGACTCCGTCTTAACTGAAGAACACCAAGCCGAGAGCACATGGTGAAAATCATTGCCACTTTCTTAAATGATTGTTTTGCTTCTTATTTTCTTCTGAATGCTGAATTTCAAATGCATGAAAACACTAAGAACTAATTACGCCAGGCCAATGGTCAAAGTGGGGTCACCCCTCTAATGACTGAGCTTAGACCATAATGAATGATTCTTTATAGAGTATAGCAGTGGAAACGCGTTCGTGTTTTGTTGAATTTGCTTAACTTAGATCTGACTTTGTTGATATTAGTATATAATTTAAGTTCATAGATTCGTTTCAAATCGAATTGTGCATTAGTTGTATTTGCTACGTTTGTATCGTGATAAGTTAGATTTTTGTCGATTTATTTATTTGATAGGTCTAATAGATTCATCCATTATAATTGCAAAAATTCACTAATTTTTCAATGTCATACCCTTGTGTTTCTATTTGTTTGGCCTCCTTGATTGATATGGGCACAAGGGCCCATGGCCAGTCCTTTCAAAGGGTTGGTGTTTGCCGAGGAATTTATGAATACACTGCAGCCTCGAGGGCCCGATGTTCCTACCCTTTTTTTCGAAACTGTCAACCTTTTAAAGGTAAAGTTTATGTGTTGCTTTATTTGATGTTTCCACCTAGTGCTCAAGTTCTATTACTGTAGTTGATGATGCCCAAAAATGACATCATTAATTAACAAGAAAGCTTGCCAAGTAGTTGGACCATTACAGGGTCAGGTGACAAGATTTTGCCCTCCAACCTTGTGGTCAAAACTTTTAAGGGAACTTAGGTCGGCACATGATGATTTCAGGTAAAGATGTCCAGCTGAATCCCAATGGGTAGTTTAAGTAGTAATAAGAATAAGTTATAAATTCCAACGTATTGAATTCGAATATTTTATTTGGGGTCAGACAATGAATAATTTATTCTTCACGAATATCCTAGTTTCGCGCGTGGATGACATGCCTTTAATCGGACTTGAGAGGGAATTAGTTGAGGTGCACGTAAACCGACCTAGACACTTCTAACCGTTGCCCTGCTGGAGTCACGGGGAGAATCTTCATTACTAGCTCAAGACAATCAACCAGGCTGAGCTCTCATATTCTCGGGCTAATCATACATGTTTTTTTTTTAAAATATGTTTTGTGGGATGGGGTGGGGTGGGGTGGGGAGGGGAGGGGAGGGGGGAGAATGGGACTTGAACCCTTAATCTCAAGAAGACAAAGTCTTTACAAAGTAAGGAATACCATTGGACCAAAGGCCTATTGATAGCTAACCATACAGTGAGAACTCGTCCCAGAACAGAATAATCATATGATTTCAGAATCTCAAGAGGTTATCGCATATCTAAGCTGGAAAACAAGTTATATTGTCACTTCAACATGTTCTAGAGGTCACGTCACACTTCAGAAATATAACATCTAATGACCTAAGAAATACAAGCTTTAATGGCCTAATATTTCCTCAACAAAATTTTAACAAACTAAGGGACCTTTAAATGACAGCACCACACTTGTAATTATAAATTCCAAGGCCCTTCCTCATATAAGGTCAATGGAAAAATTTGTAACCGAATCATTTTCTCTAAGTAATATACAGTCCTCTAAAGAATAAAAAATTCAATTAGAATGAATTAACCAAACTCTATAGCTCACGACTGTATCCTCTGTGCGTTACTTCTTTTTAGCTCATACTACAACCCTCACTTTACTTTTGCATTAGATAGAGGCAGCAGGCTTTAAACTCTGAACATCTTCCTCTTCGTCAATTGTGTTGATACCGTTGTTAGTAAGTCTCAAGCCCTTCTACTTGAGCAATTTTTTCTCGATTCGAGTCTAAACATCATAAATACTGAAATATTATTTTTGATGCTGTACTTTTATTTTTAATTTTTTCAAAATCAATAAGTCCGATGAATGTAAGGATGATTTTCCCTCCTCTAAATTTACCTCTCTTTTTCTTTGTATATTTCACTTGGTATCATATGTTTTATTTCTTACTTTTCAATAGGTATGTTCATGGAAAAAATATTGAGCGTAATGGTTACAGTATATCAGCAGTGTCACGTAGTATAACCACCGTTCACTTATAAGTAAAAACATAGATAAGTGAATCTCTCAAAATCTAATAACCATTTATTCATGTAAGTGGGATCCACTGTATTTGTTTTATAACTTTTGTATTAAATGGTTATATCATGTGACACTGCTGATATAGTATGACCAAAATTCACCATACAATTTTTTAAGGTCTAGTTACGAGTAAGAAAATTACTACCTTTTGGGATCACCATTCAATTTTTTTAAAAAGATTTTACAACTTTTAGAGGGTTGGTGATCCTAATAATTTTAGAATCGGTCACAAAAACACCCAGAAGTTGTAAACCATAAAAAAAAGTTGTCCAAAAAACTCTAAAAAAAAGTTGGATATGGTGGTAAGGTGCCAATTTCCCTTCCCCTCCAAAAAAAAAAATACTGTAACATTCTTTTCAGAAAAATGCTATTTAGACTTAAAATATAGACTTAATCAATCACAACTATTGAATAGATAGTAAATTTTAATAAATACTAGAACTTACAATGAAATCAATGACAATGATTGATCAACCTATTGCTCCAACTGTTGAACCTTAAAATCGTGAGTTTAAATTTCGTTATACCCCTCCCTTTTAATAGTATGGTTCTTCGGAAGCACCTGGGCCGTTAAGGCCCATTATTTTGGACTTTAATTTTAGAGTAATACTACACAGACTTAAAATATAGACTTGATGATGTGGTTGCTTATGTGTACCAGTCATGTCATCAGTTTCAAAAAAAAAAAAAAAATTCTGTTTTTAAAGAAAGATCAGATGACTTGACCGATCATCTTCCCTCTTCCCTCTTCCCTCTTCTTCCCCTTTCCCTTTCACTAAACCAAACACAATTTTCCCTTTCACCCCTATGTTGAAGACCTTTTTGTTTAAAAAGAAATTGAACAGCCGATTGTTTCACCACATCCGAAGCCGAACTGATTGTTGTGGTTCTTGGGTGAGGTCTTCAAGGCTTTTTTGAAATACCATAGGGTGGAACCCTAGCTGCAGCAATAAGGCTCTTGGGGTGAGGTCTTTGATGTTCTTGGTGACTTTCCTATCATAGATCCCTATGAAAACTTACTGGTTTTTGAGTGGGCAAGTTTTGGCGTAGGGAAGGGGGTAGGGAGGAGCAGATAAAGAAATCCTATGGCTGGCCGGCGATTTTTGGTTTGGTGAAACCGTGAAAGGGACAGGAGAAGACGAGGGGAGATGATCGGCCAAGTCATCTGATCTTTCTTTAAAAATAATTTTTTTTTTTTTGAAACCGGTGACATGGTTGGTACACATCAGCAGCCATATCATCAAGTCTATATTTTAAGTCTAAATTTTATAGAGTAATGTTAGACAGACNGGAGATGATCGGCCAAGTCATCTGATCTTTCTTTAAAAATAGATTTTTTTTTTTTGAAACCGGTGACATGGTTGGTACACATCAGCAGTCNTTTTTGGTTTGGTGAAACCGTGAAAGGGACAGGAGAAGACGAGGGGAGATGATCGGCCAAGTCATCTGATCTTTCTTTAAAAATAATTTTTTTTTTTTTGAAACCGGTGACATGGTTGGTACACATCAGCAGTCATATCATCAAGTCTATATTTTAAGTCTAAATTTTATAGAGTAATGTTAGACAGACTTAAAATTTAGACTTAAAATATAGACTTGATGATATGACTGTTGATGTGTACCAACCATGGTTTCAAAAAAAAAAAAAAATCTATTTTTAAAGAAAGATCAGATGACTTGGCCGATCATCTCCCCTTGTCTTCTCCTGTCCCTTTCACGGTTTCACCAAACCAAAAACTGCCGGCCAGCCATAGGATTTCTTTATCTGCTCCTCCCTACCCCTTTCCCTACGCCAAAACTTGCCCACTCAAAAACCAGTAAGTTTTCATAGGGATCTATGATAGGAAAGTCACAAAGAACATCAAAGACCTCACCCAAGAGCCTTATTGCTGCAGCTAGGGTTCCACCCTATGGTATTTCAAAAAAGCCTTGAAGACCTCACCCAAGAACCACAACAATCAGTTCGGCTTCGGATGTGGTGAAACAATCGGCTGTTCAATTTCTTTTTAACCAAAAAGGTCTTCAGCATAGGGGTGAAAGGGAAAATTGTGTTTGGTTTAGTGAAAGGGAAGGGAGAAGAAGAGGGAAGAGGGAAGATGATCGGTCAAGTCATCTGATCTTTCTTTAAAAACAAAATTTTTTTTTTTTTGAAACTGATGACATGACTGGTACACATAAGCAGCCACATCATCAAGTNTCTTTCTTTAAAAACAAAATTTTTTTTTTTTTGAAACTGATGACATGACTGGTACACATAAGCAGTCACATCATCAAATTTATATTTTAAGTCTAAATTTTAAGTCTGTGTAGCATTACTCTTAATTATATTGAGAATAAGAGATGGAGGTAGAATGCACTGCCCTTTTGTTAGTGTGTCCAACCAAATTTTTCATAGCTTGGCAAGTTGTTCTCTGAGTCGTTCTGAATTTCCAAATGCCTAAGGAAACTGATGGAGAGAGAATGACAACATCCTTTTTCTGTGTTCCTTACTTGGAAAACAATCTTCTCTTATGGCCTTTGCCTCCCGCCCGGCCCAAAAATGTGTCAATGGTTTTTGGCCCAACCCAGGTATGATTGGACTATACCCAAAAATCTCTCCCTCTGGCNGCCTCCCGCCCGGCCCAAAAATGTGTCAATGGTTTTTGGCCCAACCCAGGTATGATTGGACTATACCCAAAAATCTCTCCCTCTGGCTTATGACCTTGGAGACATAATCAAGCCCAGTATTATAGGCTCAATGTGATAATGATTCATAGGAGTTCGTAATGTGTATAGCTGAACAAATCAATAAATCTAAGGTCCCCTTGGCTGCATGCATGTATAAAATTTTTATGAAATCACTCCTCAACTACAGAAAAATCAGGTTCTGCTGGCTTCCGCAATGAACTGACATCACTCGAATCCGACCCGAAATGCATATTGATTCCCCTCCTAGTGTTTGCTGCCAACCTTGCTGCATACTCGGCCAGGCCTGACACTGGTGGAGGACGCACATTTACATCCAATTTTCCTTCTAACAGTTCAGATTCAGGTGCCACCAGATCCTCCATAGCCAATAGTTCAGTAGCACTCTTACGTTTTTTAAACCGACGCCATGCTGCTTGTATGAAACATGCTGCCCATGCTCGCCAATGATGCGAGTAAAACCTGAATTTATGCCTGAGTTGTTTGCTGTGTAGTCTTCGAAATTGTGATGACACAAACTTTAAGTCCTCTGATATGAGTGCAAATGCTTCTACTTCGCATATGGCTTTAACTGTGCGAGTTGATGATGGCAGGATGATATTTGGATGAGGGTCGAGAACCCATGTCAGAAGTTCCTCACCACAGAAATCGCCTGGACCTATACTGCATGAATTGAAGAATCCAGTACGGCCACCATTGGTGGTATAAGAATCTAGGTTGCCTCGGATAATGAAGAGCATTTCATTGACAGGGTCGCCTTCACGCACTAGGGTAGTGCCTTGGGTGCACAAGGCTGGTTTGAGTCTCTCACATATCGCATCTAGCATCTGTTCATCCATTTGATCAAACAATGGAACCTGTTCATTTTTAGAGGCATAGATAAGAACACAACATTTTAGTTGACTCTCACTTTCTCCCCAAATGCTTTTCAAGTCGTCAAAAAGTATTCATTTCATGTCTAGCTATTATAAGTGGTCTAAATGTGTTTTAACTGTCAAAAATATTTCATCCAAAGTTCCATACCATTGAGGATCGAACAAAAAAGGGAGAATGAGATAGTAGATCTTAAGACTTACTCGTCGAACAAGATCATAACATAAGTGGCGCTTGATATCTCTTCGGAGATCCAAAGGGAGGTCTTTAACAATGGCTTCTTCATCAACTCCTTGAGTAGCCACCCATTTGTACTGATCATATTTCTGTACAGACTGCCTTAATTCTGGGGGTAGTTGCCTGTGATGCATCCATTGTTCTGTATCGGTTCTCTTGATCCTCCATTCTTCCAATCGAACAGTTGTAGATTGGAGGTAGGACTGCCAGTGAAAAAAGTGTATCAGTGTCGTGAAGCCATAGACTGAAAAACTATGATATAGCAAGTTCTTGTAAGAAGTAAAGAAGATAGTCATGAATGGTTCATGATTGAGGCACAAAACATAGCCCCTGAATGCGCTGTGCACCTCAAAATTTATGAATTGAGTCCTTAAATTTAGCCTCAGGGCGTTTTTATGAAGCCATGTCTATGCCTAAGCTGATCATGCCATTGAAAATAATAGTTGCTTTTCAATTAACTTCAAATGCTTAAAGCTTACGTACTTGAGTCCACAGCTATCGACTTACCTGCATATTCCCAATGAGCAATGCAAAGAGAACCAAGCCCAGAGTTGCAACAATGATGGCAAAACTGTTTTCTCCAACATAAGTGCTTGTGGAAAGATTTTGCCCTAGAGAACTGCACTTGTTAACCAAGATGCATGTCATATTAGAGCATGCATTAAGATTGACCGAGTATTTAGAAGTCCCATGAAAGTAAAATTATCCAATCTTGGTCAAGGTGGAAAAATATTTCACCGTCTCCTATTCACCTAGCAAGGCATGAATTGAAAGAAAAATATCATCTGTTTGGTAGGTCTACAAACGTTACTATTGGGAATTTGCATCACAATCATAAGATTCCAGACTTCTATATCCAATCCAACGTCTAGTGTATTTTGTACACTTGCATCCTTGAAAGCTGGATGACTAAAGCCTACCAGGGTTGAAAATTGGACTCATTAATAAGTCTTCTTACTCATTTTCAGGAAGAAAACTTTAGCAGGAAAAGAACTAAAAACTTGTTGATCCGTTTTTAAAGCTAGTGAATCTCCTTTAGGAAAATAAGCTTGACCCACTCACAAAACTTAGAGTTCAGGAAAGTATATTACCTCAGGTTCCTCAAGCCCCACCAAAGACAGTAGAAGTACATATTTAAGAACTTGGAGGATGCAACACCCAAAGTCACAGCATCACCATAAATACCAAATGGATAAGAGCCACCATTTGGATCACATAGAGTTGTGACATTGCTTGATTGGAACCAGGAAATTCTATCATTATCCTTGACACTATGGCAGTCGAAGAACCTGTATTGACAAGATGACTTCTCAAGACTGCAGGCATATCTCCAGCATGCTTCTTGCCTTTCGATTGATAGAAGGTACCAGCAGGCTCCTAAAACCTATATTTGAAACAACAGAAAGGAAGTGATTGGCTGAAAAGAATGTTTATTCTTATAGCAAATTATATACGGACACTCCTTCCAAATACTATAGTTGCTAGTAAAAACATTTATTCTCCATTTGATTGTCAGGAACAGCAGGAGTTGGTGAGGTTTATAACATCAAATTTTGGTTATGTCTTCACACAATCAAAAGAGCACCAAGCTCACTTTTTGTTTAACTTCTATGTTATGATCCACCCACCACATTCACATCCGTTCGTGAACAACAAACAAATAGACATTATATCAGTCACCAAGATACTTTTCCCTATCCTTCCTTTTTTTTTTTTTNCTTGATTGGAACCATGAAATTCTATCACTATCTCCAACCCTCTGGCAATCAAAGAATCTGTATTCACAATAAGGCTTATCAAAACTGCAGGCCTGTCTCCAGCATGCTTCTTGCCTCTCGACAGATAGAAGGTACCAACAAGCTCCTAAAACCTAAAATGAAAAATAAGAGTAGGAAACTGAAAGAGCTGAAAAATATTAACAATCTTATAGCAAATCAAGTATAGCCCTTAGTTTTAAACATAAAGCATACTAAGAACAGTTATTCTCAATTTGGTTGCAAGGAACAGCAGGTGTTGAGGTCAACAACCCCTAATTCTAGCAAAAAATCACAATAGATATGGATACTTTGATTTAAGTGCAACTGAGTTCCCTTTAACTTACATGACTTGCTAACATGTAAAGTATCAAGTTGTAGGCAGCCCCTGCCCAAGCGGTCTCTGTCACAACACCAGTAGCCTTGACAATTTGTGTCGAGAGTGGAAATATAAGGAAAAGTCTCGGGAGGTACTGAAAAATGATAATAAAGCGAAGGACGTTTCTCGTGTTTACCATTATTGAACCCCCTAGATTGGGGATAACTACCCAAATTAATACCTGAAAGATAGAGAAAATACAGTGTCCTCAACATCATAGAACATTATCGTTTTCCTGCAAGGCACAAACCGACAGCATTTAGATTTGACATACCTGGGGAAGGGGCAGTGCAGCAATGAAATCAATCCAAAAACCTTTGCTCAAGTACCTTGATGCAATCTTAGAAGAGTCTATGACAAGCTCTCCTCTCCCAAATACACGAGAGGAAGGAGCAACATAAGCAGTATGAAACCGAAAATATATCTGAATCATGTAGAATATATCGGCAATTGATCTTATAATAGTAAGAACAACCTCAAGGGTATATCCAATATCTATGCAAGCATCGTCTCGAACTACTGGCAAATAAAAGAAGAGAGGATCCACAAACAAAGAAACTAAACATGCTGCTAAAAAGATTTTGTTCCACCGATGTATGGTTGGTCCTCGAGGATCCAGTATCTTTTTCTTCACTCTCTCATAGTCCTCTGGGAACACTCTTGATAAAACTTTTGCTTTCAAGGATCTTCCATTCGTGTCAGTCACCTTATCACCCTTCTTAGAGCTAAGCTCCCCTGGTACTTGTGTTCCATCTATTTTGTATTTGACCTTAACCACACTATCTCCTTTGATTTTATCATGGAATCTGAAAGTAATCATGTGATAATCAAACTTATCGGCCATTTGATGCCAAAATGCGAAGTAAATTGAAATATCAATCAGTCATAAACATGAAACTACCTATAGACTCAGAGAGTGACCATACATCAAATTTACGCTTTGTAAGAAACAACACAACAGTGAAGAACAAAAGGGATCATACCTTACAGATCTGGAATCACCATATGCCATGGCAATCTGATGAAAGCGTCTTCAATTAGATGCTTGGATCTGCAGAACAATGAGAGAACAAACGGTCTATTAATGAGGCCATGAATCAACAGAAAATGACCAGTGATGACTCCTAAGCCACAAAGTAAGAAAGCCAACACTAAGTCTTCCTTCAGTAGGAATCATGTGAAAAAATGAATCAAGTTGGGGTTTAAAGCATTAGAAAGTCTCCTTTCCAGACCAGAATTTTAGGTCAAACATGTGACCAACTCTTTGAATTTCTTTCACTGTCAATTCCTACACCACTTTTTTCAGCAAAATCTGGATATTTCCCTCTTCAATTGAAACAGAAAGAGTCAAAAACCATGAATTATAATTATGTCAAGATCCTATTTATATGTCAACTAATTATATTAAAATTTCATGTCATACCCATTATCTGAAATTGCACTATTTTTTGTCATGCTCAAAGAGATCATAAAAACACTAACTTAACTAGTTATTCTACCCCCCCCCCCCCAAACAAATCAAATTATGTCTAGCAGATGAAGAAGAATATACAAAGAAATTATGCATTAACCATGTCATGACACTGAAAAAGCATTGTTACAAGTGTGTGTGTGTGTGTGAGAGAGAGAGAGCTCACGAGCATTTTATTTCCAGCGACTACCCAATAATTTGCTAAGTCTTAAACCAATCTTTTTTCCATTTTGTTATGATGCTGTCTCCTTCTCTGTATGACTTAGTGAGTTCTTTGAACGCTGCAACTTTCTGATCTCCTACTAATTCTTTGTCAGAAGAAAGAGAGGATCAAAATAAATTTAAATACCCATAAGTAGTATTAATTAAGGGGGAAAAAAAAACAGAAAATTGGAAAGTCGGCTGCAAGGAAGGCGTGAAAAACAATAAAGAGACTTTGTCTCTCCTTGTTCTTGTCGTCACCCCATGGTAAAGAGCAAAGAACAGCCAACGTTTGGAAGCGACAAAATAAATATGTCCATTTTACATTGCTAGAAAAGGCATGAGAGACAAAAAAACAATAAGTTTGAATCTGTCCAGACAAGAGATGGTTCAGATTAGGGGTTGAAGTTGAACTGTGGGGGTTGTTTATTTATTTATTTTTAATTTTTTTTGCCATTGTTTTTGCAGGCGGATACTTATTTTATTCAGTTTTTACATTTTGGGTAAATTAAATTCACGCCCCTAAAGTTTGTCATTAAATCAGACGGAACCCCCCAGGTATAGGAAATTATACTGGCATCCCCTGTCAGTAACGATAAGCTAACAACAACAAAAAAAAAGTAGAATGACTATTATACCCTTCAATAAAAAAAATAAACACCATCAAACTCAACCCACCTGTTACCTAAACGAAATCCAAACCCGACCCGAACCAACCACTAATCCAAACCCAAATGCAACCTCTTGCCCAAAAACAACCTGCCTCTCTCTCTCTCTCTCTCTCTCTCCCTTCTCTGCCTTTTTCCTCGCTCCACAACGCCACCCTTACCGTTACCTACCCTCCATTAACCTCCACAACCACATCCCAACCAATTTATGTAAATTGGAGAGGATACCCACAGGTCTAGGTCCGAAAATTGGTTTGATGGCCTGGGATTGGAGTTGTAATTCCCCAGTAGAAATTGCAGTCATGCAGCTATTGGTGGTGTCAACAATAGCGTTTTGTGCCCAATAAGTGCCTTTGCTGTGGGTGGTTATAGTGTTCTTAGTGGACGTGGTGGAATTGGACGCAATTTTGGAGGCGGTAAAACTGCTCAAACCAACGCCAGTTATGGTAATATTCATGGAGGAACTGGAAATGTTTGTAGTGGCAATTATGGGCTCGGACCTCCTGCTCCTAGCACATCCTTTTCTCTTCGCGATGGATCTGTGCATGTGTGTCTGGTTTGGTGGCGAAGATGCAGTGAGGACGATCTTTGATTGAGGTTAAACCAGTTTGATGGATTGCCATGGGCTTTCTTGGGTTTGGGGTTTTTGGTTCTTGTGGTGGTGGTTGTTAAGAGAGAGAAGGGTGGTGCCACAAGAGAGATGGTGGAAAAGGGTTTGGCAGTGATGGCAAAGGTAAGGGAGGGTGATGGTGGTGGGTATGGCATTGAGGGGGAGGGGGAGGGGGGAAAGAATGTGTGTTCGTGTGTGTGTGTGTGTGTGTTGTGGAGGATGGTGGTGTCATTAGAGACACAATGAAGGAGTCTATGGCGGCAGTGCTGGCAAAGGCAGAGGATAATTGCGTTGGTGGATACAATCAGGGGAGGCAATCGTGTCTTGTGCGGTTCGTGTCGGGGTAGCGTGGGTTTGCGTGAAACACTAACTAATTTTAATTTAATTTATTTAATTAATTATATTGTGTAGATTGATTTGTATATTTTTATATTGGATTTGTATTCGTGTTCGTATTCATATTGACCTATATAAAATATCAAATAAAAAACTTAATGTTAAAATTTAATTCTCAGATTCTATTATCAATTAATTGAATCCATTCTCAAATTTTTTTTATAAATTAAAATTTGACTTAATAAACATAACAAAAATAATGAGTAAAAATATTTTTTTTTGTATAATAATTATGTCAATGTTTAATAAACAATAAGAAATATTTAGCATTTTATTTTTATAAAATTAGCTAAACGTGTTAATCGTCTTAATTTCATGTTGTTTATGTTTTGACAGTAATTCAATCCATTTATTATTCGTGTTATCGGGTTCGTGTTAAAAAATGATCAAGTATAACCTACTAATTTCGTGTCAAATTCGAGTAATGTTTTTATGTTCTATAAGAAATTGTCACCCCATGTATTGAGTGGGATACTTCTTTGACCAAATTGAAGTATTGATTAAATTTTGGCCAATAATTTTGACTTATTTTTTGACCAAATTAATAGTTATTTAGTATTTGGTCTTGTATGGGTTATTTGGGAATTTTATGGCAAATATATATTGATGTCATCAAAATTGAACTACTTTTTAAACGGATCTAAATGGTTGGGGCTATGTGTTACATGAAACCAAATCTCAAGGGATTATGGAGTAATTTTTCATACCTGAGGGGGTCAGTATGATTTAATGACAAACTTTAGCAGGAGTGAATGTAATTCATCTTTATATTTTTGTCTATTCGTGACTGGCGTACGGCTGGGTTTACACTGCTGTACACTTGTACCTATTATTATAGAAAGTAAAGATTGACTGTACGGAAATACTCCGTATATCGAAAATTATAATTGTTTGAGGTTAATATATAATTTTTTGATATAATAATTACCTATACTTTATTCATAAATGTCGAAAAAATTTTAATTTTTTATTTTATTCATAATTATTATTCTAAGGTCAATTATACCCTCTTATATATTTTTATTGTTTTACACATATTTAACTTTTAATTTGTTTTTGATTCTTTTATAAAATTTTCTAAATTTTTTTGAACTCATTTATTAATAATACAGTTATATATAATTTATCTATATCTATATGATCTATAATCAAATATTTTTTATTTTTTATTTTTTTGATATGTCATAAAATAATAATATTAGAAGAGTGATCTCATCAATCTATTTAACAAAATAAAAATTATTAATTCTATAATATAATTAGATTAGATGTGCAAATATTTTAAAAAGTCTGACAGATACCTAAATAAACAACAAATTAATTGCTTAAAAATTTATAGAATAAATCAATAATTAAATTTAGTAATAATTAAAATATAAATTAATTATAATTTATATTTTTTATAAAATATAATAATATTTAAATTTATTTATATGCAACGCACGTTGTGTATTACTAATAACTTGTAAAGGTATGATCAATCTTAAAACATTACAATAAATCGTGAAATTACAACGATTGAAGGTTAAGTTATAATTTTTAAAAATTAAATTACAATTCGTAAAAAAAGAGTTACAACTGTTCAAGGGATCTATGATCGATCATACACTTTCCTCGATAGTCATAAATTCTCTTTTCAAAAGTATAATCTTACCATTAAAAGTAATAATTTTGTATACCATATGGAACCTTTTTTTTTTTTTTGTAATGTAAATTTTTCCACCAGTATAATGCAATGGGAAATATTGATTATAATAGATGATATCACTCCATCATTAATACATAGCATTATTAATAAAAAAAATCCATTAAATAGTTTTTTTGTGGGTGAATATTGTTAAAATTAACCAAAAAATCTGCACAAATGTTAAGTGAGTTAACTAAAAGTGATAATTTATTAAGAGTGATGTTATTGAAACTTAAAAAACTAATTTAATTATTAACATAATAATGTGTTAAGTCATAGAGTCTCAATAAAAAAAATCTAACAATTACCGTCATAAGAATACTATTATACCATTACATTGTCACATTAGTAAGTTAGTATATTACGTCAAGTTTTTAGGTATCAATAACATTACTCTTCTATCAAATTTTACAAGTGAATTGAAAAAGATAGGTTGATTGCCACGAATTTACATTTATAATAAAAAGTTAAAAGTATGATAACGATTACATAGTTTTCATTACTTGATAAATGTAATTGGAAGGAATAAATCGGAGAGGGAAAGTCTACGGTGTCGAATTTTTTTTTTTTTGGGTATTGGTATCGTCGGTTATCACTTTTTATGGTAAATTTATAACTCTTTGAAAAGATAAGTTTCAATTACTCAAGGGAATGCTAATGATGTACAAATTGAGTTTGTACACCACTTGTCAGATGAATAATAATAAATGCAATAATTAAGAGGTAATAGATATAGACAAAAATAAGACAAAGTTTATAGTGATTCGGTCAACGTGGCCTCCGTTCACTTTGAATAATTAGGGCCACGAGA